ACACACGATGAGTTCTCCGTGTCTTCAACGATTTCTCTCACCTTCTGCCCCTTTTCGTTCTCATCACAATACAACAATGCATTTGCGGTGTCCCTGCCACGTTGCAGAGAAAAGCAACAGGCAACTCGCCGAGGGGTTCGCGCGTGTTCCTCGGCGGCCGGCGCCGCGCAGCCCGTGCTCCGCTCCGATGCAATGCCGCGCGCGCGCTCACCGGACGCATGAGCGGGCAACTGCATGCGGCCGGCGGTCGAACCACCTAGATCAAATGCATGCCGCTGCCAACGCCCAATCATGAAAGGCAGATCGATCGGCATCGTCGCGACAGCAGCCAACATCCGTGCCCGTGAATCCGTGATCACTAATCATTTCACACGCGGCATCGAGGCCGTGTGGCGCCCGCGTAGATCTCGGTTAGGTTGCCGGTGCACTGCGTCGCCAATTGCCATCCAGTGCAGATGGAGTCTATTGATTTTAAATTGAACTTATATAGAACCAATATAACATTTGTATCTTTAGGGCTGTTTTTCAGCTCACAACAGCTTTATAAGTGGTTGTGATCTGGGTTTTTTTTTTATCAAACACTCATTTCCAAAATACATTAACGTGTGAAGCTGTTTTTCTCCTCTCACATAGACATGAGTTAGGATGAAGCTAAAAAATAGTACTCCCTCATGAGCTTTTGGTGAAGCTATTTTGTCAAATACTTTTTTCTAAAACAGTTTAGCTTTACTTAAAAAGCTGCTTGTTACGCTGTTTAAATAAAATCACTAATGAAGTTGAGTTGTTCCAAACAAGGCCTTAAATAGGTTTATTGTACAATTCTTATTTAAGTATCTACTATTACACGTTCAGTATTCTCTCCAATCTAATGTTAATTACACATTCAGTACTCTAGATAACACAATTCCAAGTTGAAGATATAAAACTACGCGTCTCCAACAAGGTATTCCGAGCTAGCTATTTGATTATATGGAGGATAGTGAACATCTAAAAATCTGGTCACTAGCGACGAGTTCGTTGCTCGGCTCACAGGATTTCTCGTGAATCTAGTGTCTCCGCTTGCAAGACCCACTCACGTCTATGTTGTGCGGCTGGTAACTTTTTCTTTTTTTTTTATTTCCATCCAACCGATGATTTAGTTCTACTCATTGAGAACACCCTTGGTCGTCGCATCAACCATGGATGCACAAAGCAATCATCAATGTTATTAATTATAACATTAAATGTAACAGAACTCAGCGCGTGTTTAGTTCCAGGAATTTGAAATTTGGGGCTACTGTAGCACGTTCGTTTTTATTTGGCAATTAGTGTTCAAACATGGACTAATTAGGCTCAAAACGTTCGTCTCGCAATTTCCCAACAAACTGTGCAATTAGTTTTTTTTCGTCTACATTTAATGCTCCATACATAGGCCGCAAATATTCGATGTGACAGGTACTATAGCACTTGTTGGGATTTTAGGGTGAAACTAAACAAGGGCTCACACATAGACAGATTTTGTCCTTTAAACACCAATACATTAGAAAGAGCTTCACAGGCATATTATATTATTGAACCTTCGGACTTGTGTGCAAAAGCCACTTATAACCCAAGCATATGCATTAATTTTATGATCATCATCATTTCTATCCAAACAAGCCCTAAAAAAGGTGGAGAGAGGCCGAGCTCAGTAGCGTGAGCTTGTAACCCAAGCGGGGGCATCAAGGTGGTGCGGATGCTTAGTGAGGGCTTCTGGACCGGGGCCCGTGTTGTGCCTTTGCTGGCCTGCCCGTCCCAAGTTGGTAGTGGTTGGCGGGGCCTAGGTGAAAGCTTGGGCCTCTCTAAACCTGAAGCGCCAGGAATGGCGTGAGGCTGGCTTCAAAAAAAAAAGAGGTGGAGAGAGAAGGATGAAAGCGATGGGTGGTGAGAAAACAAGAGTAGAGTGAGGACGTTACCTAGCAAAATAGTGATTGCCTTGCTAACCCTATTGTGGATTTTGGTGGATTAATGACACATAATTAAAGAACTAATCCTTGTACTAAGTGAAAGTTCATTCATATCCTGTTGGGCATTTGGAGACTCTTTGAAAGCATTAATTTAGATGTGTTACTATTGGATTCATGGAATTCTAACCGGTAAGGAGTTGTCCGTCACCCATCCTCTTATAGAGTACTCCGGGAAGTTTCTATCGCTCTGACGATTTTAGTAAGAACCCTTGAGCATGATATTTGTTTCACTTGAGAAGATCATAGGGTTCGAGGAGTCTTGAAGTCTTTCGGACTTGTGTGATACTCTTGAAAAGCAAGGACACCCCATCGAGGCATAACCGTAGGGAAGCTTATATGCTATTTATAATAGCAATGGATCCTCAAAGTTTCTATCGGCAAACATAGCCTTGAAATCAAATTCCAATGGTGCATCTATGAGCGCCATTCTCCGAGCCATCTATCCGAGGGAGGCAAGGGCAATCAAAGAGATTCTAAGCATTTTCGGACAGACAAGCAGGGGCAAACCTAGCCAAGTGAGGTGGGCGGATGCTTAGTGACGACTTCTGGACCTCCAAGGCCCGTGTCTTCGCTGCCGCTCGTACCAAATCAATCCCCAAACACACTACCAGATCACTAGTACATAAGTGTCGACGACAGAAGCTACCCGAGCCACGGTTCGCTAATGCGAGAAGTGGAAGGTTGGCCTGTTCCCATCTACGCCCGAAAATCTTCCACTTGGGCAAGGAAAGTTGGCAGTGATTCTTTGGCGGGGCCGAGGAAAGTGCATGGTTGGTGGAAAGCAGCGAAGGAGCTCCTGGACTGGGAACCTGAAGCGCCAGGAAGAGAACCGATCAAGGCGTGACCAATTGCCGATTAAAAAAAAAAAAGAGGGAGAGAGTCAAGGATGAAAGAAGACCGGTGGATGCGGGGAAACGCCACTAGAGTGAGGAATTTCACCTAGCAAAATAGTGATTGCCTTGCTCGAGCTCACGGATTACCTACATTCAGGCAAGTGGACATCCATTTGGTGGACCATTAATGACGGACGACAGACGGATGCTACACGTACCAAATCGGCATATGAATGAACTGGATCCATCAGAATGTCGGGCCTACATTGTGAAAGTTGGGCTTCGCTTCGCATCAAGATCTTTATTTGGCTTGCCATGAAAAGCATTTGGACCGGCGACTCTTTGAAAGACATTAAGTTTTAGATGTGAAACAATAGACCACATCATTATTATGCCCGATTCATGGAATGGTACTATAACCGCAAGCGTAAGCAAGCAAGTTGTCCGTCTCCGATCCTCTTATAGAGATACTAAACGGGGAAGTTTCTACGGCGCTATCTGACGCAAGATTCCGGAAATCGAGATCGTCCTTGAGCACATCATCAAGAGCGAAGCCGACCGATGGATTTGAACAAGCGGGCTACGTCGCTGAGAAGCGAGGCTAGGTCCTTGTCGGGATAGACATGGATTACGGTGGTTGTTTCTTTCCATAATGTAGCGTCCGCAGGAAACTAACTAACGGCCGGGAATGAAACTCTTGTACTATAAACTCTTTCTTCTAATACAATGATATGCACACTCGTGCGTATTCGAGAAAAAAAGTCTTGGTGGCAGAAACAAGGACGTAGTCACTTCTTTGTTCTCCTTCATTCTTGCGTTGTTCATGTTCTTGAGCTTGTTCTCGTTGACTCGTGGAAATTTTACTCAATCTACTTTTTTAAGTATACTTGAGTGCAAGGAACTTCACACATCTAATTGAGGCTCTGGTAACAAGTAGATTTAAATTTTGATGGCCAAATTTGTAGATCCCGTAGGTAATTCGTTAATCTGACTGGACATCTGGTTTCCAACGTACTGTATATTCAGTATACACCGGACATCTAGTTCAAGTGTTGATTCTGCTGCAACTTTTGATTTAAATTTTTATTCAACCCCACTCTAGTCCCTGATTGATTCTTTCTTTCTCCTGCATTTATGTGAACAGTGGTCTCAAAACCTCCTTGCGGGCGAGAAGATACGTGAGGCAGCTTTGATCAGATCCTATGCTGAAGAGTGGTCTTCACTAGAGCGTGCTGAGGTGAACTTGCCACCACCTCTGAAACAATCATGGAAGCCACCTGTAGGGGACGGGATGAAACTGAATTGCGATGGCTCCTATAAGCAAGAGGGCAGATAAGGGGGATGGAGTTTTGTGATCCGAGGTGCTGATGGAGGTGTGATCAGCTCGGGTTATGGAGTCCTGACGAACGTGGGAGAAGCTTTTCATGCAGAAATTTGTGCCTGTTTACATGCTGTACAGAGAGCTGCTGATTTGGGAATTCAAAAGTGATATTGGCAACTGATGTCTCGATGGTGGTACAGGCCGTCACCTCTCCGGATTTTGATCGCTCTTCAGCAAGTGGCCTCATTTGGGAACTCAAAAACCTGTTGGCTAGCAATTTCTCTGCTTATGTTGTTCATAATTCCCGTAATTGTAATTTGGTAGCCCACAATTTAGCTGCCCTTGGGGCGAGTTCAAGTCACGGTACTGATCCAGTGTTGGACAGTATTCCGCTTTGTATTCGGTCATTTGTAGCCAAAGATTTGGCGTTGGTTTATGAGTAATGGAGATCTCTTCCATGGTTAAAAAAAAAAAAACTCCTTGCGTGTATGGACTGTTTATTTGTATGGATCGGAGGGAGACCACCAATTCTATTGGCTTGAATTACTGTCTATCAGTGCTGTTTGAATTTAGTACAACAGCGGTTGTTAATGACTTTTGCCTCTTATAGAAATACAAAAAATACGTGTATTTCCAACAAGAACAGCGGTTTAAAATGACAGGGGATGATGTTATTAACATCAAATACATATATACATGTAAAAACTAAAGGGAAAACATTGTAAAATATTTTTGGATGGTGTGAATTTTATAGGTGTAGTGTACGCGTACTGTTTCCGAACATGTGTTGTATTCAAAACTCTTCTACCCTAATACAGTGATATGTAAGTCTTTTGTGTATTTGAGAAGAAAAAAAACCACTTAACGTGCTACAAATGCACTAGAGGTGCCTGTAAAATAGTTGATGGACCCAATCAAGGTCTTAGAGGCACCAAAATGTCTCAATCTGTAAACACCGGATGGGGCATCTTCTGGAACTGTCCACTCTAGCGTTGCAAAACTCATTGGACTCACCGGCAAAGGCCTTGACCACTTGAAGCGCAGCGACCAATCGTCGTCATCATAGACAGGAACCCAATCGCTGCCGCCATCCAGCTTCTCAACGAGTGCGAAGGTACCGTCGGTGAGGAGGTCATTCCTTGGGCAGGCCGAGTAGAATGTAGCGTTCACAACGCTGCCCTTCCTGAAGGTTGAGTTCGCAGGGACATCCGACCTGACATCTCCAAACGTGACGCCGGGAGGTGTCTCGTCGACTATGACACCTGGGAGCAGACCAATTTGTCGGTTTAGTAGATCAGGAGGCTGCAGATTTGTTGGGACCTCCTTGTTTGTAACCATGGCTGTAGCAAGTTTTTGGAATTCTTGAATGTAGGCGCTCAAGGTGTGAGGACCATACAGCGTGGATGCTCCCTGCAAAAACGCATTAGTCTGTATTTGTAATGTCCATTAAGTACATAAGGATGTTCATGAATCATGAACAACATTTCCAGAAATAGGTCTATTATTGTTTGACTTCTACATTGGAAAAAAAATATGATAACAAAAGACAGAGATGCAAAGATACAACAGACGAAACAGGACCAAGTGCAGTTCAGCTATACCAATGAGATTGTTAAATATTCCTAATATAAGGTAGTTAAAATTCATATACTTAAGTACTTAACTAACAAATACACCGTGGGAAGACAGATGTCAAGCAAAATTAAGTCATTTCATTCAATGTTTTCTTCTTTTAAAGAAAACAATACACACCTCGTATCTTTGAATCTGATATTCTTCAAAAGTTGTGACATATTGAGAGTAGGTGTTTGTTAGCCCCGCGAGAACAACATGAACATTGTTATCAAACTGACCACTGTTTGTTAGCACATTTCTGACAGCATCACGTAGCCGCCTCCCAGCCATTGTTGTGAACTCTGAACCGAAATAACCATGAAAACATCATGATATGAGTTTTGGATATCATAAGAAAAGTCAGTAGATCAAGACATCACACGCACTGCCAAAGAATCAGGAATATATACCTCCAGGGACACACAAGATAACTAGCTGACCGATTCTTATGATCTGAATTGGAAGTATCGCAGGCTGCATATAAAAACACATAATTCAATAGAGGACAGTGAAATTTGAGCAAATGCAGTTCGATAGTTACTTGGTTCTGAGTCAGTGACAGACTGACAGTTAGTCTATGACTCATAGCCAGTGACACGTGTCCGATCATAAATATGTTGATATTGGCTATGATTAAGCTCTGAACTAAGGGCGTCCCCAACAGCAAACTCCTCGCTAGCTCAGACTCTCAGAGTGACATGGAGGCAATAGAACGGATAAAAAATTACTCTCTAGCGATTAACTCGTCGCTAGCTCGGAGCTACCAAGGCGAACTCGTCCCTGCCTCTCTCCAACAGCCAATACGGAGAGGAGCAGCAAAACCGGTGGATATATTAATTTATCTAGTCAGCCGACGACGCGAGAATAGCAGCGGCGCCCTAAGCCTCAACTCAGCTAATATTATATTTTACAAGCTTGTACTGTATATGCTCGTAAAGAGAAATAGGAAGACTTACTGCCCAATCATATGGAACCTTCATTTCACCGGTATCTAGCAGTATAGGTTTCGGAGCCTGACATTTCACTTGCTCTGGGCCGGGTGGCCTAATTACATCTCGTACTAACCACCAGAATGGGTTTCCCTAACGAAGGATTACGTAAAAAAACAGTCAATAGCACGCCAACGAAATTTGTGAAGCTAGAGTTTGATTGTTACAGTAGGACCAACCTTGACATCTCCTTGTTTAAAATCAAAAGCTCCAGGGCCATCTGTGGTTCCAGCAGCAAAGGCAAACCCCATGGCTGCTGGGCATGTTTTCACCGTCGGATGCTGACCTCCTGTAGTTGCAGAAACATTCACTTCGAGTTGCGAGAAATCTAGGTAGGTATGCCTGTAATCAACTCTGCCCTGTATTTCTTCAGAAGCTGAATTGAAAAGATCGACAGCCTTGAGGAATTGCCTATTGCCAATTATACGAGTACTTTCAAATTCATCAGGATATCTGCAACAAGCAAAATTTAAATTAAAGGATTAATCTATAATGAGTTCTTCCAAATGTAAATAAGAATATGAAAGCTTCAACTGTAATAATCTGTATGCAAGCGGAAGAATACCCTGGGCCTCGTCCGTAGCATAATTCATTCTGCCCATTACATGTACTGTGATTGAAGTCACAAGGACGGTTGGTGTCTGTACAAAATGCTCCCAAGACATTTGGACTAACATCTCCACAGTTTGACTGGCAGAATGCAAAAACAAATTTGAGCTTGTTTTGTTCAGTGCTTCGAATGCGCGTGGCGATACTTGAACCTGATATTTGCCTACCACCTGAGGCCTTGTAGGATGATGCCAATCGTATTAGGTCGTCATCAGCTGAAAAACAAAAGCCAATAAAAGAGTAGTTTAGCCAGGACCTATATATAGGATATTTTAATCTGATACATAATCTCATCCACCACTAGCAATGCAACATACTTATCTCATTTGGTTCAGGAATTAGTGCGGAGACTCTTCGCGGATGCCCAGAACTCACATGAACTGCCTGCTTTGGAATAACGTTCTGCTCTGCCCAATCTTCCATGAAACGTGCAGCTGCACCTTTGTTATCGCCGCTAATCAAAGAATTTGTACGGCTCATTGATGTCCCATGGGTTGCAAACCAATTGAAACTCCCAATTGGACCAATTTCACCATCTACAAACTTAATAAGTGTCATTTCTTTATCGACATTGTACTGATATTTGCTTCTCTCATCAGCTGGGTTATTTAGGTATGCGCTCGGGCTGCGGTTCACACCAGCATCAAGGAGTTCACCTGAAAATCATGTGCCTGGCATCGGTCATGTAGACTCTATTTGTAATAACCAAAAAACCATTGTAGCAACCATGACAGAGATTAGGATGTCTAATAAAAACTTGAGGACGTTGATCAACCACTGTAAGAGATTCTGAGAATGATCAGAAATGGATTATGAAATAAATAATTCAACTAGTTGAGGTATCACATTTATAGTGCCAGAAGTGCTTGGACTCCTGGAAGACACGGATAATTTTGTACCTTTGTTTACATATATTTTACCAGGACGGAGGTTACTGTGAGCTTGAACAATACTCTGCTCAATGCCGTTGACGATCACATCAAATGATTGGCGAACAAACCCGAGAGATGTGACAATATAAACTACATACTGCAGATAGCCTCCTGGCCCAGCATGAGTGTGGATTCCGCTAATAGCCACATTCTTCTCATTATAAAGGTCACCGTACCTGGCAAATTGAATTAGGAGTAGTGAGGTCCTGACAGTCAGCTCCACCATCGCCATGAGGATGAAGAGAGATTGAAGGGGTGTTACCTTGCTTTCAGCCTTTCGAGCACCTTGATAGTGACGAGCTGCGACGCCATGCAGGCATCAAGATTGACGAAGACGGCGCGCTTCCCAGTCCCACCAGGCTCAGGCTCAGCGACGATAAACGCGCGCGCCTTGAGCCTGAAGTGGATTCCTGACGCGACCTGCTCGGCGTTCGCGTACCCCATCATGTTGACGTCCGCCGCGGGCCCCGTTATGTCGTAGCTCCCTACGCCCACCAGGTACGGCGACGGCGAGGCTGCCGCTGCTGATACCGCCGGGGCCGGGCGGATGCAGGTCTGAAGAACAAAGAGTAGAAGGAGACACAGTAGACGTCGTATCGTGGGAGAGGGAGAATCGGAACCGCGAGGTCTGCTGCGGCGGGAGGAAGACGATGATGGCTCCATCAGGAAGCTAGGGAGCTGGCTCTGGAATGAACACGCTGCAGAAACCATAAGAGAAGGGCTCGTGCCAGACTCCAGAGAATTAAACTCGAGAAAGCATAATAATGGCTGATACAAAGGAGGGAGGATGTGAAAGAGAATGGGGGCAACTCACTCGGCTGCTCAAGCTGAAATCCGTAGCACGTATCTGAATGTCATTCAGAGACTGGTAAGGTGTTTTGATCCGACGATGGAAGGGTCTGAAATGGTGAGATCTGGCGAGAGTTTCAGGCTAGCGTTGCGGATGGGGGCCATGTGAGCTTGTGCCAGAGTGTAGTGGAGAGTGGAGACAGGGGACGAAGCAGAAGAAGAAAGCAGACAGGAATGCCAGAGGGGGAGACAGGCAGGTGGATAACAAATTCGCCGTGTGAAGTGTGAACCATCTTGGCCGCCGTTTCTGCTTCACGTCAATACGTCATCATGTGGATTTAAGAGCGGGAGATCCAGTAGATAGGAACCTTATTAGCGGCTGTTGCTGTGGTTGTGGCTGTTGCTGCAGCTGCCTCTCACAGTCTCACAGCAGCAGCAGCTGCCTCTCACAGGCGACATGCATTCGTGTGCGTCTTCCATTGATCGAGTGAAAGCAGCGGGCAACTCGCTAGTGAGTGGTTCCATCGGGGAGAGAGTGATGTTGGGGCTGTTTCCTTTTACTCGTCCGCTGCCGCATGCTCCATTCCACCACGCGTCGCCGGAGGCCAGGCCACACAGACACATGTGAATGCGTGATGCAGGGTTGGCCCTTGCCCCTTGGCCGATCCAGGCCTTATTTAGATTGCAAATTTTTGCAATCCGGATACTGTAGCACGTTTCGTTTGTATTTGACAAACTTTGTCCGATCATAGATTAACTAGGCTCAAAAGATTCGTCTCGTGATTTACAACCAAACTATGTAATTAATTATTTTTTTTATCTACATTTAATGCTTCGTGCATGTGTCTAAAAATTGATGCGATGAAGAGAGAGTGAAAAAACTTGGAATTTTGATGGGATCTGAACAAGGCCCCAGATTCTAGATTTCTATTGAATGGAACGCATCGATGGCTTGATGCTGTTGCGACTGGCAGCGGTGGACCTGGCACAACTAGCCGTGGACTCTGGAGGCGATGCCGGTGGGCAGCCACCGCGCGTTCGACCCAACCATGCCCCCGGTGAGTAGTAATTTTTAGATGAGGATGTAATTTTCTTTTTCTTGAGGGCAGCAAGAAAATAGGATCGTCAAACATCCAGCTTTTCTAGCTAGTTGATTTTTTTCTTCTAACGACGTATTAATAGTATAATAACTTAGAGGATGCTGAGTCAATTTTTGACCCGTTCAACAGTGCAAAAAAAAACAATAGGTTTAGCGTGGAGTTAAGCAATAGGCGGCATTCTAAAAAATGCCTAAAAAGATTTTTGAAGGCATTTTGATGACTTTTAAAGGCATTTTTAAACGCCTTCTATAAACAGCCATGCTGTAGTGAACAATATATAATTCTGCCTCCGGACATAGAACAAGCTGAGAGATGATACTTAAGGGTTGTGCTTCATGTGATCCTGTCCTTCCTGTGTGCTCGAGGGCCCCAAAGCATGGCAGATCAAGCAACAAGCATGAACAGTCCTTGCGCCCAGGAGCTGAGGTGTGCTGGGCACACAGGTAGAGACACCCAGGAGATGGCTTCGCCGGACCATGGAGCCTTGCAGCCCACGCCGCACCGCGTCACCAGCACCAAAAGAGGAGAGCTGTCACCCTGCGTTGCCGCTGTTGTCTGCCCTCACCAGCCGCGCACGCTGCAGCCCCAGCGGACACCGCTTCTCACAATTATCACCGTCAAATCAGACGTGCACCATGTGCGTTCTGAAGCCAGCGAGGGGAAGAGGGGATGGACGCACGCACTGAAGCCTGAAGACACAGGCGGAGGGAGACTGATGAAGCCAAAAAGAACATGCGTGACAGCGTGAGACAGGAAAGGTGAGAGATGCTGAGTTTCTATGAATTTTTTTTTAAATGGTCCAGCGTGTATATGGAAACCACGTGATGATTTATGGGCTCAGACTGTCCTGAGATTGCATGTCAACATATCAGTGAATGATTGAGCGTTAACCAAATCAAATTATGATTGAGCGTTAAGGAGTACTTGGGTTGATTGTTTGTTTTCATGGACAGTAGTACTCCTTATTTCCTTGAGTTCTCTGTACTTAGGTTAGAGAGACGATATCAATACGATTTGATCACCTACGGTAATACTGGCTGCTGAATTAATTTAACCTTTCTGGTCCCAGATTTAAACAACTTCTTCTTCCTTTCTTTTTTTTTATACCAACTTTACAGCTGCTGGCTTTACAAGTAGTACGTCTTTCTGTTCCATCCGTCTTTACAGCTCTGGCCTCATAAAAGTCGTTGCCCATTTTGAGGAAAGATGCCAACTTAAGTGCTAGCATTGGACTCACAATGCTGCTGGCTAAGATGCACAAACCTGGGACTGCCGCGCTGTTAGCTATGGTGCGTCAGTGACGCGCCACGATCAGTGGCGCGGCAGAACCTGCCACGTTACCGGTCAACGTCTCCGGTCTTCACCACGTCATCCTCCAGCCACGCCACCATGCACTCGCCGCGCCATGGCAATAGCGCGATCAAAAGTGTTAGATTTGGAAATAAAAAATAAACAGTGTTAAATTTAAAATTAGTTTCCAAAAAGTGTTAAAATTAAAAAAAACTGCACCGCTACCTAGGCTCTTGAAGTCACGACGTGCGCCGCCGTCTGTCGGGCTCGGGCACCCACAGCTAGGCCTAAAGCTGCCTCCCACCGGTCAATCAAGGATCGTGCCCAGCATTGGCGCCGTTCGGCTGGTTGAAAAACCAGCCGGGTGAGAGGTGGAATTTTTTTTGTGCTTAAGCCCCCCACCCGCTGGCCTTTTTTTTGCGCTTAAGTCTCCTCACCCTATCCATTGGATCAGCATCTAGTGGTCCTGATTGATAGTTTCCAAGTTTGCACATGTTGGTTGGTTTGCACCTGATATGTTGTCTTATTGTTGTGGTTTCATCTTGAATCGAGATGTTACGTTTAGGTTTCAATTGGATTTTGGTGTGATTGTAAGATGCACGGGTCATGGGTCGATAGACCGTACCTGATCGAGTACATTTTGAATGGGATTATACCCCACAACTAATGTGGCTAGAATAGAACTACTCCTATCTCAGCAGCAGTGTTGGTAAGTACAATTCCTTATAATTATTGGATAGTATAATTCTTTACAAATCTAATTATATAAAGTTTGTATTATAATAGTTAAAAATTATTAACCTAATTATTGGTTAAAGTTTTTAAAGTTTGAATCTTACATGTGTGTGCACGGGATAAAATAAAACGAAGGTAGTATTAAGACACGCTTCGATGTCTCGAACAGAAGTCTCGTTTTTTTTTGTGTATGTCACGGTTAATCTGAAAATGAGCAGTATCACCTCGCAAAAAAAAAGAGCAGTATCAGTGCACTGGTGCTTCTAATTTTGATTCAGGTTCTAATTCTTATCATTGTTGTCAGTAAATCTAGTAGTTTTCCTTGTGGCAGCTAGGTGTTTTAGCAGCCGTCATGGGGCTTGACTTTGGATTGTCATTGCTGAAGTCCACTTTATATCCTGATGTTAGGGCTCTGCTCTCCTTAAATTCAGAAGCACAATACTTATTGTATAATATGTTTTGGCGTGTTACTGAGTATTTATTATGCCATTTGAACAAACGTTGCATCATTTCTTTCACTCATGTGGCATTTGTGCAGACCCGGATACGCCTGGGACACGTATCCAGGCCGTACTGGGAAAACTGGATACGTAGGTATCAGACACGGTTGGGCCGACTTGGATACGGCCCATGAGAGAAAACCAGCCCAACTTACCTCCCACGCGTGACCTATTCCCCTTCAGGACTTCACCCGCACGGTGCTCGCGGTCTCGCAACTCCCGCACAGCCGCACTGCCCTGGAGGGCCCGACGCGACTTGCGATTGGCGAACGGCGGTCGGCGGCCGGCGGCAAGACAGCGAGCGGCCGGCGGCGACCCTCCCAGTCCCAGATCCCTGTCCCCTACTGCTGCAGCTCTATGCTGGTGTGCCCCTGCTTAGAGGACGGAGCAAGGAGCATCCCTGGGCGGCTCACCGTCGAATCGGCCGGCGGCAGGGCAGCGAGTGGCCAGCGGCGCCCCCTCCCTGCTAGCGGTGACCCAGCCCCCTGGCCCCTACAGTTGCAGGCTTGCAGCCTTGCGCCCCTGCTCCAGCAAGATTCAATCGGTAAGAGCGAGTATTATAAGGCTGAGTCAGCTAGCTGAATTGAGGCCACGTCTGGCAGAGAGAGAAAACGGGCCGACGCTCTACTCTTCGCCGGGCTGAATTTGACGACACAGCCCGCATCTCTACTCTTCGCCGGGCTGAATCTGACGACACAGCTCGCATCCAGCCAGCTGCGGGCGAAAAGAAGGCGCTTCGTTCTCCACCGAACGATCCCGTGCGAACCCCCTAGTCTCGCTCGACCGCGCGCACTACCGCCGGCAACGCTCTTGCGGCAGCAAGGAAGCAGACTAGCACTGACAGTTAATTCTTTAAAAAAACATGCTAAACGCCAGCTTATCAGTCAGCCTATCATATAAGTGTTTCTTCGGATGGCTATAGCTGACATTGCTGGCTGGGTTATTAACCATGCTCCAAGTAACTATTCAGTTTCTCGACTGTCCGTGCGTTCAATAGCTTTTGGAGAAGGCTGTTTAGGATGTGTACGTGTGGTCTGTGGATGTGACCTTATTAAGCTGTGAACTTAAAAGAGCTTCCTAATTATTTTTCTAATCCTTGATTTTTTTAAAATGAAAAAATCCCTCTCCAACAACTTCTAATACAACCTCCTCGTATTTTAGAATTTGGAAAAAAATCCACCTCGTCCGCCTAAAAGTTACGCACAACGCCGGTCGCGCGTATCCTCGCGTGAGATGTATTTCCTCCGCCTCCATGGGACCACAACGCTGGAGCACTGGCGCACCAGCGAGACGACGCGTCCTGCGTCCACGGCCAGCAAGAACACACCCACGCCCTCCTCGTCACCCGCGCCCAGCAGGAGCCGATGCGACTCCCAGACGTGGAGGCGGAGCTCCACGGCGGTGCCGTATCGGTGTTGTATACGGGCCACGAGTGCCTGTAGGCGAGCAACCGGCCGCAGCACGGACAGCAGAAGAGGTAGGATTGATTTTATCGATTGCCGGATTGATGCAGACAGCCAGGTTCCGTCCTTGTGGCCGCCTGCTGCTTCCTGTGGCTCTCAGTGGCTGCCGGCCGCCTGCTACTGCTTCCGAGTGGCCGGCTGGGAGAGCTAGGCAGCAACGACCACCACTGAGGGCCTGCTCGCCCAGCTCTACGAGGCCACGTGGATGGCTACCGCCGGCAGGGGAAGGTCGGGGATGGCAGAAGGTGCAGGGAGGCGCCGGCGACGGAGAAGAAACTTACGATTTCGTGGGGGAAAAAAACTACCGGCAACTAAACTATGTGTAGGACCACAATTTTGATGTTTTAAGAGTGATTTATTACAAACACTTGGAGATGTTCTTATTTATTCCTCCTAATACTGTTTTAGGAGTTGTAAAACATCATGGTTTTAGGAAGAAAAAAAAGGGTACTTTTGGAGATGCTCTTATGCTACATGTCACTTGGCTATGGCCTTATTAAGGGCCTCTTTGGCACGGCTTATGCCGGTTTCGGCTTCATCTATTTTACGTAAATCGAGGTACTGTAGCGTGAAACCATTTTGTAAGCCAGGGTTAAAATGAAATAGAAGCCGGGAAAAGCCAGTTTTTCTGGCTTCACCGGCTTTGGCTTCACCGGTGAAGCCGTTTTGAATGAGCCGTGCCAAAGGGGCTTAAGTTGTGCACTCAGCTTACTATGCTGTGGCTGTGGTTTTCAATTTTCATATTAAATCATGTATAGTTATTAATTATTATTATTAAAAAAAATTCTAGGCGTATCCTATGTCACTGTTTTTTTTAAGAATAGCGTATCCGTGTATCCGATACCTGTATCCGTGTCCAGGCAACATAGGTGCAGACTAGGCAAGTAGGAAGTAGGATTGGGAGCCTTTAATCTGGAGAACAAAGAAATTACTGTGTGTGTTACGTCAAATTTTATGATTTCAGATGCCTGTAGGATAATATCTAGTAGGTAGTAGAAAGGCTTGCTCTGGCACCTAGTTCCTAGTTTCTTTTTAATTCATTTGGCACATTTGTGATTTTTCTACAGTGCTCTGATTTCTTAATCCAAACCAAGCAAAGAAATTTCATTAGTATCTTGTTTCCATTGAGTTCTGGCTCTGCCGTAGATGGACTTCTCATTGATCAGGTAGATTCAAGAAGATGTATGCCATGCCTCACATGGCTACGATAAAAGACACCAATTTTATGTTAGGTGGGGGTTCAGATATTGAAGTATTTTCTGTATGCCATGGTTGATCTGTGAACGGCAGCACATAATTGGTCATTTTGCCATAGGTTTCACCTTTGTTTCATGCTTCACTAATGTGGAGGTCATCCTAAATATTATGTTCTGAAAATAGAGATGGGTTTAGGTAGTCTTTGACGAAAAGTTAGAATTGAAACAAGACTTAAAAACTGTATTTTTTTCGATCTGTCTTTGCCTGAACATTAGGGTTCACCCATCACATAGAATTCCTTGTACGCAACAGTGTATAACAACTTAACAAATTGCTTCAGATCTGTACTGTACAACACATATAGATTAAAATGTTTGCATGTTACCTAAGTCTCTAGCAAGTTTACTGTCTATTTTTCATTTTTGATTTAGTTCTAACTTGTTTACTTTTTTTTTTTACTTTGTTGCAGAGAGTTTGACATCATGCAAAGCCCTAGCAAAATCGGTGCCACCTCTGCCTCCACTACAACCCCTGCTGTGTATGGACCTCAAGGGTGGGCAGATCTCCCAAAAGGTATGCTCCATTCCATTGTTCTTCTGTTGAGCTCTTTCATTGAGCTCCTCAGCTTTGCTAGCACCTGCCGCTCTTGGCGTGCCGCTTTTGCCTCGTACCCATCTAAATCCACATTCTGCACCCTGCTCCCGCCTCTTGTCGTTCGGTCCCATATCAGTGTCCGTGCTCCTAATCTACCTTCCAGAAGTGATGATGGTAATGAGCTCCGCACGTGTCAGGTCCTTGATCCAGCCAACATGAAAAGTACCCTTCGCTGTCAGATTCCTGAAGAGACATTTGAGAAGTTGAACTTTGCCAGCTCTTCCTATGGGTAGTTGATTTGTGGTCACGGCAGAAATTGTCTTATCGTGGATGGATGTGTCCATTGGTGCCAAAGTTTTACCTCCACAGCTCCATTTGGCGACAACACTTATTTCTACTCTGGCATGCTGACAACTCCCCTTGCATCACCAAACTCACACCTCCTAGTTTGCGTGCAACTAGAACGGGGTGGTCAGTGTCTGCTTGATTGGCTGATTGGAAGTGATTCTTGGTCAAAACTACAGCTCAATCTTAATTATGCAGTTGTGCAGATTGTGGAGTTCAACGGTCAATTCATCGCGATGGACACCCACCCCAGGCTCTACACTCGCCCCCAGCTTGGTCTGCAGGAGATAGCAACTGTGTGGTTGGACAACATGCATGGATACCCATATACACAACCTTGTCTGGTGGTATGTAGTGGCATGCTTCTAATTGTTAACTACAACTACTACTCGAGCACATCATCTGGAGCACCTGTCAACTACAAAGCCTACCGCCTGGACGTCCACTGAACCTGCAACTTGGGTGGAGGTGGTGAAGCTGGAGAATGATGCCCTCTTTGTTGGTGATGATGTGCGGAGCCCAACATTCTCTTGCATAAGCCCAGGACGATGGGGCGGGAGAAGCAACTGCCTGTACTATGCTCATTATACACAACCATGGGTCTTTCATGGGCGGGGTGATGATACAGATGCCATTTGAGATGATTCCCCTAACCCTTACCTTGAGTACCGCAGGGGCATGTACATCAAGCTTCAGCCATTCTGGGTGTACCCAAACATGTTCTACTTAGATGGACAGTGATCCGTACCTACCCTATGTTGCTGGTAGGTAGACTTCTGCAATCGAATAGATGATGTCACTATGGTAGCACTTCAGTCACTTTTCTCGTTGAGAGTGGTGCCCCGGTTTGAACACTCCTTTTTCCCTATCTGAATGAGGTTTTGGTAACGTTCTGTGTGCATTTAAATTATGTGTGTATCTGAAGAAAAAAGAGTAAAATGCACGTTGTGTCCTCAAACTTTTGAAGCATTCCTTGAACTAAAAAAGCGACTATGTGGATTCCTAATCTACTGCCGTTGTACACCAACGGTCCAAGACCTGCCACACTGGTGCTAGCATCTGACGTGACCATGCCACAGTGGCAGCTGGGCGCGACGTCCTCATCATCCGCCGCCGAGGACGAGGCGTAGCGGGGCTTGCTGTGGCGGGGCGCAGTTGTAGGCTCGGCGGCCTGACGCGGGCATCTTCCCAAGCGACCACATTGGGGAAGTGGCCCCGCCCGAGAACGCGCACATGGCCGACCCGACGGAGGGCGCGTGCACGTCATCATCGGGGTGGAGCAAGATGAGGACCTCCTAGTCAGGCAGCAGCACGGTATCAAGGTCCAAGTCCGAGCCGCGGTGGCCCTGCCTTACCGCTTGAGGTGCGACAGGCGAGGTGGGCCTAGCCTCGTCCTCGTCCCTCCAGACGGAGCAGAGGAGGGTGGTCAGCGGCTGGCAGCGGCGTGACGACACGAGTTGTAGCGCGTGGCGCGTGGGCGAGTAGGCGGAGGACGGGGTGGAGGTGGCGAAGGCGGGCAGCGCGACGAGGGAGAGGGCGACAAGAGCAGGCGCAGTAGGGCCCTGGTGGTGTTGCGGCGAGGGCGATGGCAGCTGCTGCATGGCTGGCAATTGGACGGGGTGCTCCAGAACCTCGCCGCGTTGCTAGACCTCCTCTCGGCGTTCCGTGGCTGCTGCTGCTGCTCAAGGTCGAGGCCTTACAAGAAAAACATGAATATATTATATTACTATAATAATATATCAATTATTTATTTTATTTAATAGAGATTAACAATTATAACATATAGCAACAAAACTTCACAAATTAACGGCATAATAGCCATAGATATATTGGATATATGTGTATTTTATAGCAATTAATGAAGATATATGTGTTGATAAGACGAGTATAAATTATCCGTACCTGTATCTTACATATTTTTACCCATTAGTATAAAAAATCTCCCCATACCTGTCTCTTTATGCCTTATTTGGAGCACATATATATCTACTTCAATTCATATGTGTTGGAATAGAACTTAGTTTAATTCTATTTCAATCCACTTCAATATACATGAATTGAGATAAATACATACTTAGACAAGGCCTTAGCAGGTAAAATGGGGTAGTTGGGTTTCGGACATCCATTGCTATTTCGGTGATGCATGAGCATGCTCAGGCACAGGCGCACCACGTCCCGCGTTCTCCGCCTCGCATAAAGGCCGGCGCCTTCCTCTCCTGTCTCCTCTCACGGTTCCCCTTCCCATTTCCGCCTCCGTCCGCGTCGAGGGACACACCGCCTCCGGCCGCGCGCAGCAAGTTCCCCAATTCCCCAAACATGAGCGGGGCAGAGGAGGAGAGATCCGGCGCCGCCGCCACGGAAGCGGGAGGGGAGGAGGAGAGACGGGAGAGGAGCGTCGGCCTCATGGCCGGCCTCGTGGACAAGGCCAAGGGCTTCGTGGTGGAGAAGGTGACGCAGATCCCCAAGCCCGAGGCGGCGCTGGATCGCGTCTCCTTCCGGAGCATCAGCCGCGAGGGCGTCGAGCTGCACAGCCACGTCGACATCAGCAACCCCTACTCGCACCGCATCCCCATATGCGAGATCACCTACACCTTCAAGAGCGCCGGCAAGTACGTCATGCATATGCATGTCCCTCTCTCACATGGTCACCATTCTGATTCCGTTAATTTCATATACCATATATACGCGCATACCTGATCTCTCAGACTCTCACTAATGCCCTAGGGTGATAGCGTCGGGCACGATGGCCGACCCCGGGTGGATCGCGGCGAGCGGCAGCACCAAGCTGGAGCTGCCGGTGAAGGTGCCGTACGACTTCATCGTGACGCTGATGAAGGATCTGGGAGGGGACTGGGACATCGACTACCTGCTGGAGGTGGGGCTCACCATCGACCTCCCCGTCATCGGCGCCTTCACTATCCCGCTCACCACCGAGGGCGAGATCAAGCTCCCCACCTTCCGGGACTTATTGTTCTAAGCGATTCAGATGTTTAGCGAATGAATCGATTTACTTTCATGCCATAATCAGTGCTGTATTGAAGCAATGATGGTCGACGATTAGCAATATTTGGGTTTTTTTATGTGTTCAGGGATTTAAAACTATGTAACACCGGTGTGAAATAGAGGAGTTTAAGCTTGACCGTCAAAAAAAAAAACAACGAACCGATGTAGCGAACGTGGCCCCTCCTAAGCCATGACCATGTTTTTGTGGTTGGAATCATACGCATACATGATCAACAGAACTAGCATGTGTGCCAAGATGTATTAGAAAGGTTTATCTAGAGCATCTCCAACAATTCTCATAATCAATTTCCAAAAAACATATTTTGGCCAAGATGAAGATAATATCGAGTCCAATGGTACCCAAAAGAATTTCATAGTATATTTACGCTAGTCCATAAAATCCGAGCATAGTTGCGCCCAGCTTCTGTGCACCACCCAATTGGGGATTCCGACCTTCTCATGCGCATTTGCATGCCCACGACCCTTGTCAACTTGGAGGACAATTGGATAAGCCTCAGCTCACCTATAGCTTGCTCTAATGCACACTCCAAATGACCGTGTATATAGCCCTAGCCAACTCAACTAGTTGTTAGAAACTTGGACCGCAAAACAGTGAGCATTGTATAATTCCGGTTACCACACCAGAGAAATCCAGTGCTGACCATTATAAGCTCTATTTATTCGGTGGTTTCTCTAATGCCCCAAGGCGATGGCTAGAGAGGGAATGGTGAATAGCCAATTTCAATTTTTAAAACCAAAGACACTAGAAAAGCTTGATTAGAAACAAATGAGGTTCATAGTGTCAAATCGACCAACCCCCTTGATGGAGTGCTGAAACTGAATCGTGATGCTTCTTTCAAGGCTGAAAGCATGTCTAGGAGTTTGGGTTTTCTGATTTGAGATCATGATGGAGATGTTGTGCTAACGGGAAGAGGAAGACTGAATCATGTTCTCAGTGCTTTCCAAGCCGAGATGATATCCTGTCTGTAGGGTATTCAGGTGGCAGCAAATTTGGTGTTGGCAAACTTATACTGGAAACGGATGCTTTGATGGTCAAGCAAGCAATGAAGTCTGACATTTTCGATACAATGCCTGAAGCTGCATTGGTTGAGGAGCTCAAGTTTTTAGCTCGTGTGAATTTTATAGATTTCGATTGTAATTTCCTGAGTAGAGTTGGCAACAGTGCAGCACATGCTATGGCTGCTTTGGGTTATGAATGCGTTGAAGGGGAGGAACTCATCGCAAGTTCCGCCCCTAAAAATGTTCTTGTAATCGTTTCTGATGACTTATCAGATGAGTAATGAATTTGCCAAGGTTCAAAAAAAAAAAAAAAAAACAAATGAGATCCTGATAATTCAACCTGCACTAGCTATAGTTTGCCAACACCCAATTTTGTTGCCACCGAAATTTGCTGCATTTGTAGCTACATCTTTGTAGCAGCAATCTCTCTAGCTTATTTCCTCGGTCAAAATAACTGTACACCTTGCTTTGAGAGAGTCATTTCTTTTAAATTTAATCAAACATATAAAAATATATACTGACAATATTGATGATATCTAATAAGTATTATGAGATTAATAGTGAAATATTTTTTTCTTAATAAATATATTAAAATATATAAATATTGATAATATTTTTTTATAAATCTAGTTAAACTTAAAAAATAAAAAATTTTTTAAAAAACGAGACGCTTATTGTGTGTAACCTCCATTGGGAATCTCCGGTTGCCCGTACATGCCCGCAACCAGCGAGGTCTGATGCTCACTAAAGAAAAGAAAACGCCAGCGAGGATCCCATCCCATGGCACATTCCTAACCACGGTTCCAAGCAACACCATGGCCATGAGATCTAATCTAGATAGTCACCTTAACCACGAACCTGCACCCAATTGGCCAATTCTTGATCGATCAAATTACTAAACAGAAGCAGCGGAAGAGGTTAAACAAGTAAGGCCACTTGACAGCCAGTCAGCAACTAATCAAATCTAACCAATCAATGATCGGATCGCGAACCTTCCTCGTAACTAATAACAAAATCATACGACCGACTAGGCGACTTGTCTTGATCCACACAAAAGAGCAAAAAGAAAAAGAAAAGAAAAGAAAAAGCAGAACAAGCCCAAAGAGAGCACCCGCAGAACTTCCCCCGCAATTAACCCAGCCAGAATCCGCAAGCTGCAAATGACGATGATGCATCGCAAAAGCCCGGCCCGGCCCTGCCTCGGCCTCTCGGCCTTACCGCATGGAACCCTCTAGAACCCCCACGGGCCCCTTCAAAAGGTCGCGTCGTTAACCCATCCCTTCGCCTGCCCTGCCCACCTACGAGTGACCTCGATTATTTATTTATTGGGTAAATTAGTTAGGTAGCATCATCGAAAGATCACGGTCTTTATAAAATACTATTAGAAGTTTACGTCCTTGTAAAATACCAAAAAAATTAAACCGTTAACTAAAAATAGTATTTCGTTAAAATAAAGCGACAAAAGTGATGGAACTGAAAGTAGCCTCCATTACGCGTCGTCACGCCCTTACGGGTTGTTCTCGTGGACGCTCGCCGCGAACAAGAACGGCTCCTGCGGCACCATCGGCACCACGTGCCGCAGCGTCCGTGCTTGCGCACGTCCTTGCAATCCCGGCTCTCGCCTCGCCCGGTCCTACCCCGCGCCGACGCCTCTCGCTGATCCTGATCTGTGTGCCTGTAACCTGCGTGTGATGGAGGAGGAGGAGGGCCCCTGCAGCAGGACGTCCTCAACCGCATCGGCGACATCAAGGCGCTCGGCAGTTGCGCCCTCGTCTCGCGCCGCTTCCACACACTCGTGCTGCTCGTCGACTCCGTCTTCATCCGTGTCGACTGTGTCATCCCGACGACCCGCCGCCCTCCTCCTCCTCCGTTGTACCAGGCTCCCCGCCGCACCAAGCGCTAGCTGCGGGCGTGGCGCGTTCATGCACATCACGCGTGTTCTGGTCGGCGGCATCACCACGCACTCGACCAGATCCTATCCCCCGCCGTGGCGGGCGTCTCCTGGCGCTCCAAGCCACTGCCCGCGCTCGCGTCGTGGACGTCTCCCACCAGTCCACCACTCGCTCTCCGAGGTGTTCCACTAAGCTACGGCGCCTCCACATCGAGCTGGCACTGATGATGGTGTGCTCCTAAAGTAGAAGGCCGACTTCAGCTCCACCCTCGGCAATTGCGTCATCCTCGGCGCCTCGTCGGTCTTGTCCAAGCCGCCGACAGAGCCATGGTCCGGCGGTGGCAAAGGCGATGCGCTGCTTTTGGCCGCCAGAACATGCTGCTGGACGTGTGCTTCTTCAACTTGGCAAGGACGCGTGCTTCTGGCTGCTGGAACCTGCTAGCACCTGGTGCAGCGGTTCACGAGCCTATGTTCTGACGCGTGCTCCTATAGTCCTATCTGGCAAAAGCACGTCCTGCGGGCGCTGCATGTGGTGGAGAGGTGCCGTAGGAGCTGTTCCTATTCACGGCAATCACCCACGACAACATCGCGTACGGACACAACGGAGACTTCTGTACTCCTCCTGTAACTTTATTTTAACAAAATACTACTCTCAGTTGTTTATGGTTTAATTTTGCAGTGGTATTTCAATGAGCGCAAAACTTTCGGTGGTACGGTACGCAGCCGATTTTCCCTTATTTATTCTGGTCGGCTCTCGCCCAAGTCATCGTCTGGTCGTCGCCCGCAGACGCCCCAAGCCGGAGGGAGGAGCCGCCATGGCCGCGTCGGATCTGGAGAGCAAGGCCAAGGAGGCCTTCGTCGACGACGACTTCGAGCTGGCCGCCGAGCTCTACACCCAGGCCATCGACGCCGGGCCCGCCACCGCCGACCTCTACGCCGACCGCGCCCAGGCGCACATCAAGCTCGGCAACTACACTGGTACGGGCAGTGCTCTTCCCCCACCCCCCATCCTTCCTTGCTCTCTCCTACTTCTCCGCTAGGGTTCGGTTCGATTGGTTGTGCGCTGACGTGCGGGGACAGTAGTTCGACGCTCGCATGTGCGTGTGAATGTAACCGCAAGGGCCTGGTATAGCGGCTGCGCGGTTTTTTAGAAGGTTAGTTTGATTCGCTGTTTTGTTGTTGTGATGAGCGAACTCGTGGCGATACTAGGGTAGTTTGGTTTTTTAGATGATTGGGGTTTCTGAGATGGTCGGGTAGAGTTAAGTATATGTGGGCAGTAGAGTACGAAGATTCAGATTGCCTGAAATGTCCAGGGCTAATTATGACGTTTGGGATATAGCTTTGACTTGTGTGTTGCAAGGTATATTCCTACTGCCCTACTTGTTGCCTTGCTGTGTGTGTGATATGGTTTATCTCAAGTTCCCTAATTGCTGTGTCACGATGTGTGTTGTAAGGTATGTCCTTAGTTCGCTCCGGTCGTGGTGCTGTGCATGTTTTTAGGTGCCCCATGTTCCTTACCAGTTTCATTTCTGTGGTTTGTAATGTGTTACCCCTAGTTCCTTGTTTCATTGCTATGCTTGTTTTTTTGCTATTACTCTGAGTCTCAGGTTAAATGTGTGTATACATGTGAAGTAGTACAACTCAATTGGTGGCTTGAGGGTTTTCAGCAGCATGTTGAAGAAGTTGTGATGACAGAGTGGTTTGGAAGGATTTAGATTGTATTAATCTCTGTTGGTCCTAGTCTGGGGCGATGCCATTTTGTTGTATTACTCTCAGTAGGTTGCAGTGCAAAGTAGTAGCTCATTTTGACCAGATTCTGCAGTTAAATTGACAAGAAAAATGCCTCCTATTTTAGATATGTTTATATAGTTGTGTAGCACTATTCTAGATTCTCCCCTCATCCTAACTGTACATCCATATCAGCAGTTTCCAAAATAAGAAACTACATGTTGATTTACTATCATTGCAGTATTTGTTCGCAATAAGAAATGGAATGCAAAGTTTGGCTCCTGTTACATCTGAATCAGTAGGAACCATAAGAAACGCATGGTGTGGCTGTAATA